CAGTATTTATGTCATGCCCCGAAGCTACCCCTAAGACGCAGACACGGGACCTAGGATCACGAGTGACCCCAAGCTAATCCTACTGGCATATCATAAGCATACTAAATAAAATTAAAGTAAAGAAAGATTGTGCGGAAGCTTAAACATGAGATAAATTGAAAATGATGGGGAATACCCAAAAACTATCTGAATATATAAAGAAACTGAGAGTTTAACAACAACTGAAAAGTCAAACTCAAATGCTAAAGCTGAATCTAACTATGTCTGAAATGAAGCCTCTACTGACTAGAAATGTTGGGACATGCCCCAGCTAAATCTAGCAAAAACTTCAACTAAGACTAAAAGCAAAGGAAACATGATTGTCGTCCTTGGAGAATGAGGACTCAACCACTGATACTGCTGAGCTGAAGATCGAAAACCGATCTATGCGTGATCTGGAAGCTGAGAACCTAAACCTACATCACGAGAAGATGTAGCGCAGAGTATGCATTAGTACTTGGAAGGTACTGAGCATGCAGGATAGAGTAAAGCTGAATAATAACATAACTGAACAAAGCATACTGAGCAATGATATAAAATGAACTGGATGTAAATATACTGAAAATACTGAACATGAGCTAAACTGAATGCAGTGACCAAATTCATAACATACTGAAACTAAATACTGACTATAACTGATAACATGGTCAATGCAATAGAATCTGATTGTAAGGGAGCTACTAATAACTGACATAAAATCACATGAGCTAAATGTGGAGTCCGATGTATATGCCTCATCGAAAGGACCCAACACACCCTGCCAGAGGTATAGAGGCATGACTGACGTGATCACTAAAATGATGCCCACTAAGGGGACTTACAACCTACGGGGCACGTAGTTTTGGGACTTGAGGGTGACTGACCCTAGTCCACTCGGTATTAAGTTCTCCCAATTGATTATGTAATTAACAATTTATGACTGAATTTCTGTAATACCACTGGATAGTTCAAAATACTGACATGCTAATTGAAAATGTAACATTAATGTACTGATAATGAAATATTCAAATCTAAGGCATGTATATCTGAAATATCTGACCTAGCATGTGTACTTCATGAACTAAAAGAACTACATAGCTAGAGTTCTGGATTTATGAAAGAATCTACGCCAAACAATACTAAAATCATGATAATCTGATTAGGAACATTAAAGTAACTAATTCATAATGATATGTTGAAATTCTAGAAATCCTAGGTCTAGATAATATTAAGGGAATCAAGAATCTGACTGAATTCTAGGGACCTAATGGGTGAAAGTAACTCACTAGTGAAATTCCATATACATGGTGATGAAATTCACAGAGAAATCTTTCAATTTTAGGGTTGGAACTGATGAAAACTCATTGCGTTCTTGAACTAGGGTTACTCGACTTCTTCTCTTGTTTATGCTCTAAGATTGATGATTTTTTGGTGAATAAGTGATTATGTTAGGTTCTAATTAGCTTACTAGGCTAAAACTGACCAAAACTATGTAGTTTAGGGTTTAAACGACGTAGTTTAGGGGTCCAACGCTTAAGGAAAAGACCAAAAGACCCCTGTCTTAAAATTTGCTGGAGCCACCGACGGGACTAATCGATGGTCCGTGGACTGATCCACGGCCCGTCCTATCAGTCCGTCGATCGACTTTAGAGGATGGGTTCTGGGGGTCTTGAGGGTCTTGACCTACGGACTGATCGATGGTCCGTGGACTAATCCACGATCCGTCATGTTAGTCCATCGATTGACTTCAGAGACCAGGTTATAAGCCCTCGATCCACGGACCTGGACCACGGTCCGTGGTCTGACCTATGGTCCGTGGGTTTGGCCGTTGGTCATGCCTTAGAATAGTTTTTGTATGAGTTTCTGAGGAGGGTTGCAAGTGGCCATCCACAGACCACAAGGATGGGCCATAGGTCACCCTATGGTCCGTGGGTGGCAACCGTGGGTTGCACGTGCAACTTCTGGAAATCTGCTGGTTTGGTCTGTTTTCGAATATGGGGTGTTACAATTTATATCCTTGCTTAGATTATGTCATTGCTCAGTTATGCTTTGTTTAGCTCATATATATTTACTCAGCTTAGTATCTATATCCTGCATGCTCAGTACATTCCAAGTACTGACGCATACTCTGCGCTACATCCTTTCATGATGTAGGTTCATACACTCAGCATCCAAATCACGCTTAGATCAATTCTCGGTTCGACTTCAGCGACTTCACTGGTAAGTCCTCATACTTCGAGGACAACATACATGCTTTCCATTTCAGTCTTTTCTTTCTGTTTTCAATTTTGTTAGAGTTAGTTGGGGGCATGTCCCAGCAACTCAATTCAGTAGAGGATTTTCAGACATAGTAGTAAATTCAACTTAAGTTGTTAAGTGGTTGTTTCAGTTATCACTAAACTCTTAGTATGTTTTATATATTAAGACTATTTCGGTTTTGTCCCCACATAAGATATTTATTGATTTAGCTTCCGTATAGTTCATTCTTTACTTAGTTATTCTCAGTATGCTTATAATATGCAGACTTAGAGTTAGCTTGGGGTCACTCGTGATTCTAGGTCCCATGTTACATCAAGGGGATAGCCTCGAGGCGTAACAAAAAGTATTCAATTAATGTTTGGTTGATGGATTTTTTTATATATAGGGGGTTATGATTTGCTCCTTCCTCCCAAGTGAGACAAAAGAGGTGAAAAATAATAATTATTCTCAACTTATGAGTGATGTCGTATAAACAACTATATTAATTACGACCTAAAGTTGAAACAGACTTAAAAAAAAAGTAGCCATAAGTTGAGGATACTTGTGTCTTTTCACTTCCTTTGTCTCACCTGGAGGTAGGAGCAAATCATAACCCCCTACAAAAATCCATCAACTAAATATGAATTTAATACTTCTATTTTAAAATGAATGACCTATTTTTTTTTTTAGTCTATTTTAAAAAGAATGACTCATTTTTTTTTCCGGTAATACTTAAATTTCAATTTTTCACATGGAATGTTTAAGATATTTTGATATATTCGACATAATTTTAATTTAGATCATGTAATCGACAAATCTTTTTTATTTTCTTAAGAGAAAAGACATAAAGTGACAACTGAACTTGTCCCGAATTTTCAAAAAGACACCTTAACTATGCGGGCATCCTATTACCCCACTAAGCAATCTTAAACTGATATTATTACATCATTTTTTGTCCACCTGACATAGAGAGTGTGTGCACGCTATCAAAGAGAGTGAGCAACCTAAAATAACTAATATAATTTTATTTTTACAAATATTTTACTATAAAATATATTTTCTTATTGTTTTAACTTTTTTTCCTTATTATTTTTTCTTTCTTCTTCAAATTTTTTTTGTCATCTCCATTGAAGCTTCTCACTTTCAATGTCACCATTTTGCCACAACTTCACCTTCCTTTTCTTTTTTTTTACTACTATTAGTTTTACTCTCTTTAATTTTAAAACTTTATCTAAATATTTTCTTACATTTCAAACAATTTGATAAACCTATTAGATTTCAAGATAATTAGGAGGTATCATATAGTTTTTTTTATCCTATTTCTATCAAGTTATTTTAATTTTTGGGAAATTCATTTATTCTTTTAAAATTATCATTTCTAATTTTAAAGTTATATGAAAATGAATAATTGATGATACCTTCAAAATTTTAAAATTTCTTAGAAAAATAATTAGTTTTGTTATCAATAATTCAATAAGTCTAGAAAATAGTAAGATTATTTTTTTTTGATAAAAAAATCACTGAAATAAAAAATTTGATTGGAGGAGAAGAAGAAAAAGAAAAGAAAAAAATGGGAAAGAGGTTCAACTTGACGTAGGGGGTGGGGTGAGGGTGGGAGGTGAAGAAAAATGAAGAAAATGGAGGGATGAATCAACTTGAAAGTGAGGGGTGGAAAATGAAGTGAAATTTAAGATGAAATCAAAATTAAAATAAGTCAAAAAGAAGGAGAAATAAAGAAAAAACTTAAAATGAAAAAAATTATATTTTTAATTAAATTGGCACGTGTCATGTAATGATTGGTGTGTTAACACACTTGTTTTTTAAAATCTGGGACTAATCGAAAAATGATATAATAATATCAAGTTCAAAATTGGTTAGTTGGTAATAGGACAATGCAAGTTAATATGTCTTTTTGAAAATACAGAACAATTTCAGTTGTAATTTTATGTCTTTTTTATTTTCTTAAACTCTATGTAATGTTAAATTAGGTCTTTTTTTTAATACAAAAGTGTATAATCAAAGAAAAAGATTCATGAGAGATTTGTGTCCCGAAATAGTCTGAATTCGAAACAAAATCAAGTTGCTAATAGCCGCATTTTTTGGGTGTGTCGATAATTAATGAGTCCCAAGTGGATTAGAATGCTACCAGTGTTTAGTCATTATCTTGATTTCAGTTGTAATTTTATGTCTTTTTTATTTTCTTAAACTCTATGTAATGTTAAATTAGGTCTTTTTTTTAATACAAAAGTGTAATAATCAAAGAAAAAGATTCATGAGAGATTTGTGTCCCGAAATAGTCTGAATTCGAAACAAAATCAAGTTGCTAATAGCCGCATTTTTTGGGTGTGTCGATAATTAATGAGTCCCAAGTGGATTAGAATGCTACCAGTGTTTAGTCATTATCTTGATCAAGCCAGACAAGGAGGTTGAAGATTCATCGTCAGAAAGCCGGCTGAAAGATCTCTCACGTGAGTTCTTTTCTTTTTCTTTCAAAATTTATGAAAACTTTTTTGAAATTTCAAATCAAGGGCGCATGTTAATGATCAATAAAGTCTGTTAAGAATTGTGACGAAATCCTAGCTAATTATTTTTTATATATCTAAATTTTGATAAATAAAGTTATCTTATGCATGTGGAGATGGGAGTTAGCAGGTAGCAAGGAATTAGACGGGATGTGAGCAAGTTGGCCCACACCACGTTTATAAACAAACAAAAAAATGTTAGGTGGTGACTCCACAAATCTATTTGATAAAATTTCCAAAGTTAGCACACATTTTTAAGCCTTTAACCTTTTCGTTTCAAACCTGGAAATAATTTTCTTCTAATTATTTCGTGAACAGAGTGCCATAAAGGTTTCTAACATACTGATTCTGATTCTACAACTTGAACCTCTCTTATCTATTGTTCTAGTCCTTGTTTGCCTTTTCATTGATGGTGAAAATGATGTTGACTCCCTTTTAGCAGAAACGGGGAAGGAAATAACCATAGCAGATATGCAGGACAATATCTTACATTGCCAAGAATTTTTATCCTTATTTTTGCCACTGGATGAAGTGACCATTGCTAGGATAGTTGGTGTGATTGTCCGTACACAATCAGATGACAAGAGTGTACACTCGAAATTCCTTGCTGATCTTTGTGGCAACAATACATTGGATTTATCACAAATGACTGACTGGGATGCCGACACTCTTATTTATGCAACAAAGCAACTTGTGAGTTCCATTACCTTGTACATTTATTTCTTGATGATAACAAAGAATTTTACCAACTCTGCTGCTGCAGGCTCCTGAATTGAACTGGGCAACTATTATGGAAAACCTAGACCATGAGGGTTTCTATATTCCCAACGAAGCAGCTTTTTACTTTTTGATGTCTGTTTATAAACATGCCGGCCAGGTACCTCTTCTCACTTCTCTCTCCTGAGCATATTGCTTCTCTCTTCTTTCTATATCCTTTCTTAAATAAGGGAAAAACTTTGGGGAATATGCAAAAATCTGGAATTGCTAGACACACATTTCTATTCAATTAACTTGTTTACATTCCCCTGTTTGTAGCTTTTGATATTTTATTATCTTATTTTTTTCCATTTGTATTACTTTAACTTTTTATTGCTTCTTGCATTTCCTTGAGAATGCATTTTAATACATGGACCAATGTATATTGGTACCATCATTTTCAAAAATTTGACCAAACATATCTTTGTTTATTATGCTGGAACTTAGGGTCACTTTCCTCTCAGAGCTATTTGTGGCTCTATCTGGAAGAATGCTGAGGGTCAGATTTCCTTACTTAAATATGCTGTCTCAGCTCCTCCGGAAGTGTTTACCTTTGCACATTCTGGGAGGCAACTGGTAGGCCATCTGATGCTTTTAATACTAACTATGTATATGAACATCATATCATTTTTTTTGGTCTTACTATGAACATCATATCATATTTGTTGGTCTTAGAGTCAGTTTTGCAGGCCTATGTTGATGTTGTGAATGACCATAAGGTTCAAATTGAACATGCAAATCATGCGTGGTTGTGTCTTGACCTTCTGGAAGTTCTTTGCCAGCTGGCTGAGAGAGACCATGCAAGTTCTGTGAGATCCATACTCGAGCACCCTCTGAAGTACTGCCCTGAAGTCTTGCTTCTTGGGATGGCCCACATTAATGTACTGGGTTTTGACATGGATTAAAATTCTTTCCTGTTGTTTTTCTACCATTATTACTAAATTGTCTTTGAATGATTTTCAGACTGCATCTAATCTTCTCCAGCAAGAAGTTTCCTCTGCTGTTATCCCAATATTACTGCAAAATGCTGATGCAAGTGGTATGATTGTTCATCTGTGGCATGTTAATCCCTACATATTGTTGCGGGGTCTTGTAGATGCGCTGAGCATTGACCCAGAAAACATGAGCAGATTTTTGGCTGCCTGTCAAGAGATAAAGGTTGGGTAACTTATCAGATTTGAGTATACTTTTTCCTTACACTATACTATAACCATACTGTTAACATGTGTTATGGGAGAGACGAGCTCCCTGTGTACCTCCAGTCGTGAACATTCCATAGTTGGTGACAGTCATAGTTTATGAGAAAAATTCTAATATGTCAAGTGTTAAGCTGTTTTAACTTCTATGCATCATGGTAGCTTGCTGTAAAATGTACAGTTGTTTTTGTTTCACAGTTAACTGTTGCATTTCAATTGTTCTAGAGTGACCCTAGTATGTCAAGTGTGAAAGTCAAATGATGTTTGTAGGATTACTGTCAGAAGCAATAAGTAACTTAAAGAATTATGTTTGTTTACTTCTTCAAGGCTTTCTTTGGAGAGTAATTAGTCACTGATTATAAGTACACTCATTTGTCCATGTAACATATTTCCTTTTTTTGATATACCTAAACCATCTCCATTCCTCCAGTTTGTAAACTAGTGTAACCCGTTTTTCCTTTCAGATTCTATCACCAATACTAGATATGATTCCATATCCATTCGGTGTTAGACTTGCTGCCCTTGCTTCCTGCAAAGGACACATAAATTTGGAGAAATGGTTGAGCAGTAACTTGAACGCATATAAAGATGCTTTCTATGAGGTATGTTTTTATCAACTATCTATAAATTTGACATATTTGGTTTACATTGTTGCTGTTCTCCAGATCTAGTCTGCCTTGTCGTTTTTCTTAACATTGGAGAAAATATTTCCTTGCTGTATCCCCGCATTCAACCATTGTGCCAAACTTAACATATATTTTGTAGGAATGCATTAAGTTCTTGAAGGAGGTGCATCTTCCTGCTCAAGTTGTTACTTCCAACCACTTCTGTTCTCCCAATGCTCTTAGGACTATTTATTCAGAAGCTTCTTCAACGTTCTTAAAGGTCCCATTTTGACACTTGAGATTGATTAGTTCTAGCAGCATACACTTCAATTTGATTTTGCTTATTTATGGATCTATTCCCTGCAGGTCCTCCAGTCTCATTCTGGCCTAGTTTCTTCACCCCACCTATCCCTGGAAATGGATAAGTTGCATGTAACATATATGGGGACTAATTCGCGGTTTAAAAGTTCTGGTTCTGCTGATTTGTCATCATCTGATTATTATTCTGAAGATATTGAAGCAGAAGCAAACTTGTACTTCCATCAACTTTTCTCTGGTCAGGTAACTAATGATACAATGATTCGAATGCTTGCTCATTTGAAAGAATCGACTGAAAAGAGGTTAATTGCTTACAAAAATCCATTTCAATGATCTTTTAATTTTACAATGGTTGCACAGATGCAAATCGTGCATTCCTTTTTTTTTTTTTTGCACCTCGTTGATTCTTACAATTGCTTCTCCTCTGGTATTGTGCTCACTAATCCCAAAAAAATCATGCAGCAGTTGGATGTATACTTTGTTATTCCTTATCAGAAGGTAGTATTAGTTATATTCCAGCAAAAAACTTACACCAAGAGGGGCTAAGCCTGACCGCAGAATATAATATTTGACTGGTTAACCAAGCCAAGTCAATGCGCAAAAAAGAGTAGGACTAATTACAGAGGGTCCTACTCTAAGAAAAAACATCTTCACTAACTAAATAATTAGCTTTATCTTATAGAATTCGCAGATTAGGTAGTTGACTCTTATCCATTTGATAGGATCCATTGGCTCTTTTGGCAACGTTCGGAAGGAGTCAAAGTGCATACCAATATCTTATTTGGAAGCATACTTAGTGTCACGATCCGAGACTACCCCTAGTCACGAAACGGTGCTTAGACCACAAGTGACCCTAAGCTAACCTCATGGTTTTTCCTGTCATGACACTAAGATAAACATGAAATAGTATCTTAAAACAACTGGATGCGGAAGCTAACCAAATAGTCTATTATACTCGATTGTAAGGTATATATTTGAATTTTATTTTTAGCTGAATCCTGGCACTCGTTTTAATACATGGATCCGTATCTCTGAATCTTAAAATTTAGATCATAGAAGATCTGACCTCTAGATCCGCACCCATATCGAACACTTGCACCCGAGTTCGAACAACTTAAGGATAATTGTATGCTTGGTCATGCAATAACTTAAAGACTAACTATGGGAGATACTGAAATCGACATATAACTATGTGAACTACTATATGGATTATGGAGTTTGATGTATAATTCCCCTATCAAAAGGGCCCAATATACTTTGCCAAGGTATAAAGACTGATTTGAGCTAATGTGGATCCACTAAGTTAATGTTCTTAAAAGACTAAGGAGGTGGCCTCAACTAGCAAAAAATCCCCTTAAACCCTACGGTGGCACGTAGTTGTGGAACTTAGGGATTGCTGCTAAAGGTCTCATGCCTCAACTAACGGGTGATCCTTCATCCCTTGATCCACTCAGTGCTAAGTAAAACTCTCAACGAAAAACATGGAAATAATTGAAGACAATAATATTCTGGTAATACTAACTTATATTGATAATAATTGAGTAGCTCATGAATCATGATAAAACTGATTATATCTAAAAGACACTTTATTTAAAGGCATAATACATAAATATGCTCTTTAACTCGACTTTATTTCACATTTATGCCCTCCAACTTTGGGTGTGCACAAGTGAACACTTAAATTTGTATAAAGTTGAACAAATAGATACACACGTCCTATGTGTCATCCTACATGGCAATTTATGTCCTATGTGGTGTCCTACATGTATTATGTCACCTAGGACGCATATGTCTACTTGTTTAACTTTATACAAGTTTAAGTGTCTACTTGTGCACACCAAAGTTGGAGGACATAAATGTGAAATGAGACCAAGTTAAAGGGCATATTTATGTATTATGCCTTATCTGAAAGAATCTAAAATCATGAAATCTTATAATCTGAAAAATGCATTTGGAAGTACATAATTCTGAGTCATGAAAATACTTATATACTGGCTGGAATGGAAGCCTTGACTTGAATTTCTTGAATGGAGACTTGAAGCTTTGGAACCCTAGTTCTTGCTTGAGAGGAACTTGAGAGTAATTCTGAATTTGGAAGTTATGCGTGACAGGGAGGCATTTAGGGCGACTAACTACCTTTAATCCCACTTAGAATAGTCCAAAACGACATAATATTGAAATTAAAAGAGTAAGAAAAGACCAAAACGACCTACTAAAGATCTGGGTTGGGCAGGTTTCACGAGGGTCTCTACAACTCGTGGTTTCTTCTACGGACGGTAGAACCCTATCCATAGGAATCAGAGTAAAATCTGAGTGTCTGAACCTTGATTCTACGAGACCCTTCAATGGACCTTAGATATGACCCGTAAAACTATCTACGACTCGTAAACTTGACTCGTGAATCTCAGACCAAATTTTCCGTTTCTGAAGTCTCATTTACGAACTGCCATCTACGGTCCATGTTTCCTTCAAAGGCCCATAAATGGTGCCCTTAAAACACAGAGAATTCTGCTGACTTAGATTTCTGAACTTTTCAAGGACTGATATGGACTTAGGAACTTTTGGGGGTGTTACACTTAGCTAAGCAATCAGCTACCTGTTTTGCCTCTCTAAAGCAGTGTCTGATAGTTGCATTTATCAGGCTCAACCTTTCCAAAATCTTATCCACTCTTCTCTTCACTTTGAGATTGGTAATGCCTCTGCTTAGAATCATTTTGGTGACAATTTCAGAGTCCAGTTCAATAAATCCCAAACTAGAACAAAGATCCACACAATAGCTTGTAGCCATTGTCTTAGCCATATTATTGCTGTTACATATCACTGGAACTGCAAATGCCATTAGGATATCTCCATCTTCATTACTGATGATTCCTCCAGTTCCAGTTTTCCCATTGTATTGTAGGTAGCTCCCATCGGTGTTTAATTTCACTTTGCCCCTCATTGGTTTCTCCCAGCTGACTTTTTTTCCCATTTTTCAGGGGTCTAAGCCTCTCAATTACATCACAAACATTTTGCCATGAAATATAAAGATTGAAGTTATAGTATCCTGTTTAAAGCATTCTTGACGGTTCATTCAATTTGATACATCATCTTGGAGGTCCAAAAGTACTTTTGCTTCCCATATTTACATATAAAGTAGTTTTTCCATGTTTCCCAAATGATCACAATGGGGTAATCTGTCACGGCTTTAGTCTACACCCTAGGTGTGACTGACACTCAAGATCACGAATGACCCTAAGCGGACCCTTGGTACTGGCATGCTGCAAAAGAAAAATTCTAACATTTATGAAATGCGAGCGGAAGCTGTAACTTGGTTAACATGTACTAAACATAAGGCTGAGAAAATTATCAAGGGATCTATGAAAGATGAACAACTACTGTCTGAATAAAGCCTCTACTATCTAGAATGAAATAAATAAGTTTGTCGGAACATGGTCCCCAACTACCTTAAAAGTTAAAACAATAACAAAACTAACAATAGGCCTAACTTTTGAATAATCCATGAAGTCCCCGAATGAGGAGGACTCATCAATTGCTAACGGGAATGCTGCAACCTGTCTAGTCATGAGTCTGTGAACGAGCGCCTGAATCTACATAATAAAAGGATGCAATGCAAAGAAACGTATGCGGTCAGTACATGTAATGTGCTGAGTATGTAAGATGACGCTAAACATAACCATAAAGCAAAGTAAATGTCATATGTGAATTTGCTTTCAAAATATAAGGATGAATCTATCTTCTTCTTTTTTTTTTGAGAAGGTAACAATTAGGATGAATCTATCTTTGTAACCATGATTCAAAGATATAGCTAAGATATCATATTTGTGAAGTCACGATGATACTGCAGGTGCATGGGATTAATAGTAGCTTTAATGGAGAGTTTCTTACAATTGACAAACACCATTTGAGCTGATGATGTTCAACTTACGATCTCAGTTGGGGGCAGCCAGGGTATATAACCTATCTGTTTAATATGGATCCACTAATTGAGCCTCAAAGGGCTAAAAGAGTTGACCGTCAAAACAGCATACTCAAATACTACGGTTGCACGGAGTTATGGGATTTGGATTTTCTAAACTGGCGTCCTCTCGGTGTTAAGCAATCCTCCCCAAATAATACTTATATGATATGCTCATAATTTGGTAAACTATTTGCCCGTCTGAATAAAGTATGAGACAAAGCTCAAATCTTTCTTTCTAAAGTCATATACTGAAATCTCTTCTAAAACATATCTTTCAAATTACGCTCATAGCTTAAATCATGAGAAAATTTCTAGAACATGTATATCTTGTGACTTCTCAAAATAACTTTCATAATAACATAAAGAATCTAAATTCATGCTTTGAAATATAAGTATCATTAATCATAAACAATAACATGTCAATAACTATTAAGGGTCATAAATATGATGAATTCGAAAATGGGTTTGATAACTCTAACTATAGAATCAAGTTCATCAAAAAAACTTATGAGTTTTGGACATGAGGATGAAAGGAATTCCTCATTGAAGTCCTACATACCCTAGTGAAGGAACTTGACAAAGAACCTTGAACTTGGAGCCTTTAGATCTTGTGAAAGTGGAGAAATCTCTTTTTTGAAGTTCTTGGGTTTCGGAAGAAGGAGAATTAAGGATTGTGGAAGTTACAATGCGTATTAGGAGGTTATTAGGCTATGATATGGGTTTAGGGAAGTTAATCAAGGGTAAAATGTCAAGAATACTCCTCTAATAATCCTCTCGAAACATAAGAAGACCATAAAATTAAAGAAAATGACTATTAATGAATTTCGTCTGCCAAATCGGTGATCTAGAGGCCCCATCGCCAAATTATTCGGTGGATCGCCAAAATAGGACTTTGGATCGCAAAAAATTAACAGATTTTGAAGGTCTTTGGGTCAACTCGGCGATACACCAACCTATTGGGCGATTTGCCAAATGGGCAGTCATTGCTGAATTTCCCAGTCCGGACAAGTTACAGTAAAACAACCATAACTTTCTACTCTGAACTTTGATTGATGCAAACTTGGTGACGTTGGAAAGAAGACTCATAAACCTTTAATTTGATAGTTTATGAGCCACCTAACTCTTTATTTGCTGAGAGATATGATCGTTTGAAGTTGACCCTTGTATGAACTCATGCGGAAACTTAGCCGATAGGAAAGTTATGAACTCGACTTAATGCTATAGAGGTCTCCTATGGCCCTAACCAACATACGATATACTTCCTACACTTGGTAAGGACCTTAACACACATGAACAAGTAGGACATCACCTGGTCTAAGCTTATATATTTATGACAAATGGTTCGGATCCTTAGAGTAGAAATTGTGAGGTGTTACATAATCTGGGGGAGAAGTTTGTGAATCTTGTTTTTGATCTGGTAGTCTACAATTTGCCTGATTCCACCTGACTGGCCACTACCCCCCCAAGAGCTAGCAAAATGTATACAGGCAGCCTGAACAGATTCACCTTCCACAATCACATGCAATATTGTCTGATACTGGGGGTTATGCAGCATTTACATGTAGCAATTAAACTAGTAATGGTAGTAACAATAGGCTGTGTGAAGAGGGAATTTGGGCTTTTTCCTCACTGAGAAAAATTTTCTCCAGTAAAGTTTAGTACCTTTGACTTAATCAAATCTACGTCTGCAAATGTTCTCTACTTTGAAGGCATGTTCTCGTCTGAAACTTAAATGTTTGCAGAAGAAAAGTGAGATGTTTGTTCATATTTTAGTTGTCTATGTTATTGTTAAGAAGTGATGAAATGAGTTCTACTTCCACTGTTTTGGTCTATTGTGATGATTCTCTAAAATTTCTTCCTTGGGTGATATTTAAAACTTTCAGGGAACAAGCAATTTTCCGCTGCATGATCGTTAAGCTGTTAACTGAATCTTTTGCCAAGTACCCTGTGAGGCAACTCCAAATGTCTGCTGTACTCTTTGGTCAGACCTTCAGATACTAAACCTTGAACTGCTCTCCTTCTTTTTACTCTTAAACTGTATTCAAATTTATACGTAACTCTTAGGTGTTTAGCATATTCCTTATTAATTCGAAGAATCCTGGCCAGCTAAGTAGGTTAATAAAATTTATTCTGATTTGCACATACAAATATTGTTAATAATTTCATGAAAAACGTTTCAATTCAGTACCACCATAGAAATTACACTTAAGTTCAAGAATGTTATATTATTAAGACCTGACAATGATAATCTACTTGCGACCTAGGTTAACAGTTGTTAAAGTAACGCCCAAGTGCCGCGAGAACTTAGAATGATATCTTTTAGATGGACCGGAAGGACTCTAGTTGTACTTAAGAAAGTTGATCCTTTTACACTTGAGATTACTTAACTAGAGTTTCGTAAAAAAAACTAGATCAACATTACAACCTAAAATGGAAATCCACAACCTTAGTTTCATAGTCTTATTTATAACAACTAAGTTTTTAGTTACTAAGCAATACTACAATCAAATATCTTAAATTTTACTTTCATTAGAAATAAAGACTATTTGTCATGGTTATGCCTACGAGTAATATTCTCAGTGGGATTCGACCCCAACTTTGGTGGATTCTATAATTGAAGAACGATTGCTTTATACTTCATTGAGAGGTGTAATTTGAGCGTATCATGACCTCCGTGAGATGGGGACCTTTGCTATAACAAAACGCTTGACTCCCATTTCCTGATTTTTACTAACTCTTACCCCATGGAGACTTACGCAGGGGTACTATTGTCCTAACCATCCATAACGACAAAACAGATCATTACAATATATATTACTTATAAGTGCAAGATATTATTCCCTTCAAATGCAATTGGTATAGGTCAAATAATGCAATTGTTTTCTAGCAACTTTGACTTGAAATACAATCTGCTGGCTAACAAAAAACAAATCAAATATATTTCTAAATTATATGTAAATACGCTGCATGATATTGCTTCAGAATAGGGAATGGGGAGCATACTTATTTTTGTTAGACAAGAGGATAGGAAATACGGTTACGAAAAAAAAGTGGATAGGAAATAACAGCCTGAAGGGAGAGGAGTTCCCAGATCTTTTTCTTTTATTGCAAGGAGTCCCAATGCTACTCTTTTTGAACATTAGTCCCAATGCTACTCTTAGTCAACTAAGAGACGGGGAATGTTGGGGTAAACTTATTAGAAATAACAATATAACTTGAAGTGCCTTGGAAATTGATTTGAAAAATCAAAACACCCACAAAACTAGCCTGCTTCAATTGGTTGGCTTTCATGGGCCATATGTTTGGCAGGAGTCTACTCTAGGTGTTACATATGTTTGGCAGAGAATGAGAATATTAATCATCTATTTTTGCATTGTCCTGTAACAAAAAATGTTTGGGATATTTTCTTTGCTTATTTGGAATACAATGGTGTTGCCTGGTAGTCTTAGAGCAGCCCTCGTTAGCTGGGGTGTAATAGAGAATTGGGAAAAATCCATCAGAAAAAACTTGGCAGTATCGATAGTTCCGCTTTGTGTCACATGGAGTATCTGGAAGTAGAGGAGCTAGAGGAGTTTTGAAGGAATCTCAACTCCACTTTGTTTCTTGTTTTTTCAAGCTCCTTGGGGTTTTTAGACAGGAGTTGCAGTTGCACAGGAGCTAGCTATTTTTGTAATTCAACTGCATTCTCTAGATGCGTTGTTGAATGAAATCTACTTTCATTTGATTAAAAAAGAGAAAACAACATAAATCACACTAGTTTTGGTCCTAATTACGTGCACTCACATCAATTTAGGAAATTACCTTCCGTATCACTTTTTCTTCGCCAAATACATGTATCTGGCACACTCAGATACATGTATCTCGGCTACATGCGAGTCAAATTTGATTTAATTTGTTTTAGATTCACAATATTTATTGTGATTCACATATATCTGGGATACACTAACTCTCTCACTCACTTCTCTGTGTCTCTCGCTCGCCTCTCTCCTTATGTATCTGTATTTCTGAATGTATATGAATTTCACAATTTTGATGTAATGTGTATCCAGTATCAATTTCATGCATTTAGTAAGTTTCATCACTATATTTGGTATCAAATATTTAGTGTATCCGTGCATAGACACATGTATCTGGTATCAAATATTTAGTCTATCCGTGTATAGATACATGTATCAAGTATGAAAAAATGCACCGATACATTCATCAGTATATCCGTGCATGGAGAGCGTGAGCGAGCAACAAAAGAGAGGAAGAGCGAGGGGGAGAGAGAAGAAAAATGAGAGCGAGCGAAAAGGAGGGAGTGGTGTATCTGACTTGAAATTGGGTATGAAATTATTAATTAGTGAGACAATATGTGATTATTTCGAAGAAAAAAAAACTCATGATATTGCTCTTTCGTTGAAAAGGGCATAGCATAACGACAATTTTAAACTTTTCATTTCTTACCTAAAGAATTAATACGTAAATAAATGTACAACACACTCTTAATCCCAGATTTAAGGCAAACTTCTCCTATTTTTTATTTTCTGTATATTTTTTTAAAAAAAAAATACACAAGTAGACTTTAAAGTTAAAGTTTATTATTCACAAGTTGGAGATTAATTATTTTTAGAACTATGCACATTAATTAGCGTGCATGAATTCTAGTTTGAATTACTTCACCCCTTTAACTACTTTTTGCTTCCTTTAAGCTATGATTCTTTTTACAGTTGAAATTTACTTTGCAGGATCACTTATTAAGAATCAGCTCATAACTGATCATACACTTGGGATTGCTTTGCTGGCCGTCTTGGATGCATTGCACAAGAGTCCTTCTACAAATGTTTGCTCTCAGTAATAACAATGTTAATTTATCATAGACATTACGTTAACTTCCGTTAACTAATGGCTTCTTTTCTTGCAGATGTATGTTTTTGGTGTTGGGGCACTGACACAATTTGTTGACCGTCTGATTGAATGGCCTGATTACGTCAGCCTTATCTTGAAAAGATTGGTTCTGCGTGGAATGCATTCAGAATTGGTTGTGTTCATTGAGCAGGCTCTTGCCAGGACTTCACAGGCACATGCAGGCCATTGTCCTGCTGTAGATGAAGTACATCAAGCAAAAGCAGGCTTGTATTTCAATCAATTGTTTTCTGGTCAGCTGACTAATGATGAAATGATTGAAATGCTTGCTCACTTTAAAGAATCAACTGATAACAGGTCAATTTTATGGAATCTATGTGTTACTTTCCTTTTTCAGCAATTTGCTTTTATGTTTTAAACAAATCTTATGGCAGTTTGACTAAATATATTTCCATTCTTCTCCATTTATTTGTTTTCTTCTTTTGGATTTGTTTTTGTATTGGTTGTGAGTGAGGTTTTGCAAATTTACTGTAATTTCTAAGCAATTTTTGAAGCTTTATAACTGCTTGCTGTATCAATGAGCTAAGAGGGCATTCCTTTTTTACTATGAGAAATTCACAGTAGACCTTAGTTGATCTGATTAAAGCTAAACATGAGAATATTCCTTCCCTAAATGCACGTTCTTATCTCACACTTGGTATTTGCAGAAGATAAAGAAGATATATTGCTTCATATTTTTGGTGTTTCATGTTGGTGTTCAGAAAAGAAAAGGGCATGAATTACCACTGCTTCACTGTTTTGTTTTATCTTGATGTTCTATCAACTTTAGTTCAATTCTTAAGAGATAAGAACTTGCAGGGAACGAGCAATTTTTGGTTGCATGATTGTTTTGCTGTTCCGTGAATTCAAACTGTTCGCCCATTTCTCAAAGAGGGTACTCAAAATTTATGCTGTTTTTACAGGTAAGAGTTTCAGATGCTAATTTTCAACTGCTTGTCTCCTACTATTTTTCTTTTAGCGTGTATTGAAATTTGTCCATAATTGACTTTGAGGGGTTTAGCATACTTCCTTAGTAATCTTAGGTATGGGGGTCAGATAGATATGATTGGTTCTTATATAGATTGATCCTTTTCAAATCTGTTTCAGCTGTTCTATTTTGTACTAGTAGTTAAAATCCATGAAAATACACTTAAAACATGTTAGGTATGCATACTTATGGTATCCCCAACCATACAACTTTTGCAATTTAGGGTAACATTTACAAACGAATGGTTAAGATTAAATAAACTACAACTTATTCTTAGTGCAATTGTCTAACAATTTTATCTATAATTCTAATATAGCTCTAACTTTTTTTCACTATCTTGATCTCTGTCTCTCCATAGTGCTGTAAGTTCGAAATCCGCCAACTTCAAACTTATAACTTCAATAACACGGAGATAAATTTGTCTGCTCGTGCACCCAAGTGAGTGGCATAGTGGTTCATGGAAGTGGACTGAGAATCATGAGGTCTCAAGTTCAAATTCCAAACAAGGCAAAAACTCTTAAGATTGTTCAATCCTTAGTAGACAGAGTTATCCGGTATGCGGTCTCCATAGTTATAAAAAAATTGTTTAATTACTCAACTCTCTTAGCTTTAAGTTCTACTTTTATTCTCTGTTGTGTATGAAATTATCTTTTAAAAAATCATATCCGAAATTATTACTAATTATTGAAAAAAAGGCAGAAACCTGCACATGCCATGAATTCAAGTGTAAATTACTTTGCCCCATTAACTATTTTGGCTTCCTACTTGATCTATAGTTCTTATTATTGTTGAAATTGCCTTTACAGGGTCTCTTATCAAGAATCAACTTATAACTAATCATACTCTTGATATTGCTTTGCAAAATGTCTTGGATTCATTGCACGAGCCTGCTGATTCAAAGGTTTGCATTGGCCATAACATGCCTTTCTTAAGGAACATCACTTTGTAATTACTAGGTTGTACAATAGTTAGAGTAGTAATTATCAGTTTGGATTGCACATTCTAGTAAATGCATATACTTGTTTGTTTGTCACAGCGTAATTATAATAGGATTTCAATATCATGTTTAATTATACAAGTTCTAATTGGATATATTGTTTGATTATTTTTTAAACAATATAATCTTCATTCTAAATTATTTTTTTCATTAGCTGAACAGGTAAATAGCTCTAGTGGGTGACAAATGTATGTGAATCTAAGAAATATTAATTAGCTGTATCACTGGGTATTTGAAAATACATTTCTCTGTTAAAGATAAATTCAATAATTATTCTAGGATGACTAATATTGTAAAGAATATACCTTATCGAAAAGATAGTATTGTAATTTGAATCACTTAATACGAGATCCTATTACTAATTAAAATTTTGATTAAGATGGATCTAAGATGTGAAATTTCTTTTCCCAACAAATATTTATACTAATGAGCAGGATTAGGAGGATTAAAGTAGGACTAGGTTTGAAGAAAAATTTATATTTGAAAAATAAATATTGTTAAGAAAATGTGATTGCCAGCTTGTTTCAGTCCTTAAGTTACAATGAATTCCGCATTTTAACCAACTAATTAATTACTTAGGCACAGAAACAAGTTACGCTGGAATTCAATTCTCATGTGGCTTTCTAAACACACCCTAAATATTACTTTAACTTAGCATTACTGATGGCTTCTCTATATGCAGATGTTTTATTTAGGTATTAGGGTGTTGGCTCAGTTTGTTGACCGTATGATTGAATGGCCACATTACTGCAATCGGATAGTGCAAATATCTCATGTATGTTCAAGTCATCCAGAGCTTGTTGCATTTGTTGAGCGTGGACTTTCAAGAGTTTCACAGGCACATGCAAGTCAGAGTTCTGCTGCTGATGGTTGTTATGCTAATGATATTGAAGCAGAAGCAACCTTGCACTTCCAGCAAATGTTCTCTGGTCAGCTGACTAGTGATGCAGTGATTCAAATGCTTGCTCAACTCAAAGGATCAACAGATAATAGGTCACTTTGTTTACCAGAATTTCATGTCTATGATCTTTTATTTTCTCAAGGCATGCTCATCTGTTCTTTTTCATTTACACTTCTTTGGTTCTTACAACTTCTCCTATGCATTGTGCTCTTTAAGCAGCTTACAGATTATATATGCAGCAGTTTGACTAATTATTTTTTCATCATTCTCTTCTTTAGTTTCATTATATGTAAGCTTTAGTCTGATTTAATCAACTCTAAACTCGCGTATATTTACTTTATTTATATGCACACTATTTTCTCAAGCTTAGCTTTGCAGAAAACAAGGATGATGCTATTCATGCTTGTCTGAAAAAAATGGCATGAATCAATTCTGCTGCACTGTTTTGTCTATCGTGATGATTCATTAAAATCTATTTGTTAAATTAGGCCTTACTCCTTTTTGCAATCAGAACCTTTATATTTTTTGGTTGAGGTAGCAGCAAGAATTCCTATCTCTTGATAACATGTTGAATTTTGTGAGTGCTTCATGTAAAAGTTTAAACTATTAGAATGAGCAAAGTTTCTTTATTTAAATTTGGTCTTCACCAAGCTTGTTAATTGATTTTGAAATAGATATTTGAAACTTGCAGGCAACAAGCAATTTTTCCAGTGCATGATTGTTAAGCTTTGTAGAGAATACAAAATTTATGCCATGTACCCAGAAAAGCAACTGAAAATTGCTGCTGCTTTCTTAGGTGAGATTTTGCAGATTCAATGTTTCAAGTGATTATCTCCTTAGTTTTGTTTTTGATCATATTAAAGTTAGTCCTTGACTTCGATTGTGTTCAGCATATTTCCTTTCTTGGCCTTTACTATTATGTTTGTATACGCTATAATCTGTTTCGACTGTTCTTATTATATTCTAAGTAGATAACTTTTTAAACATATTGTTTGCATTTATGTTCCTTTGGGTGGTTGTCTTCCCTATTTAGTCCAAATTTCCACCTCAAACTTCAGTAACATGTGATAAATATGTCACGCTCTCAATTATCCTACTTCTAAGGCCAATTTCCTTAGTTTTGAACATCAATTGTCTTTAAACTCTTTAAGGTTTTATATATGTAAAACTTAGAGATTGATCTGTTTTAGAAGTATATATGTGGGACATGGGTTTTAGTTTAAATTTCTTGGTCAGCCATTTAACTATTTTTTGTGCTTCCTAAGTGAGTTAATTTCTTATTGCATTGAATTTGGTTTTGCAGAGTCACTTACTAAGAATAAGCTCATAACTCATCCTACAGTTTGGAAAATTTGTAATCAAGCTTTGCGAGCTGTCTTGGATGAATTGCATGAGGGTGCTGCTGATTCAAAAGTTTGTTTTCTGCGATAACACACTTTTTTTCTTTTTGAACTTACTGTTTAGCTTCACATTACTGATGGCTTCTCTTCATGCACCAGATGTCTGTCCCTGGAACTGTTAAGTTTGATCGAAGGATATATGTTTGAACCACTGCCTTCAAGATATTCGATTCATCTATGAATTTCATATCTTATGAATAGTTTAATTTGCTAGAATTCCTAAGTGGTGCATTTAGAATTTTGGCATCAACTTCTGATGGTTATTGAAATGAAATAGAATTCATCTCTTTGCTCTTTTTGGAAAATCAACTGAATAGAGCTTAAATTATCTATCATATTTCCTCTCTGAATACTTGCAAATCATTTGGTCATCACTTCTTATGTGTTGTGTGATCGCAGTGGCGGACCCAGGATTTTTGCTCAGGGGTTCAAAGTATAAAGAAGAAGTTCAGGTAGTAATGCAAGTGTGCAGTGAGAGTAGTAGCCCCCTCGGCATGCTCTTTGTACAAGAATCATAAATATTTCATTGGTTCATAAAAGTAAAGACTAAACTAATCAAAGATATCAAGGACAAAGATACATTGATAAGAATTTTAGCGGATCGACTGTATTACATAAGTTCATTCCTAAAACACGTGAAAATTAAATGATGAAAAAGGGAGCGAGATGGGGAAGAGAGATATTACCTTATCATGCTAAATGTAACTTACTTTATTATACCATATTAAACATTTCTTTCTACTTTTATAATGCACCATCGAGCATTCTTAAATTTTTTTGTGTTTTTATACTTTTATTTTGTAATGTTTTACTTTAGTTATCACTTTTTAAAAAAATTAAATTAGTATCCATTCAATCACATATTACTATTAAAATGGTCAAGATTCTCTAGAAGTGTGTAAGAATAGAGTTACTAATATTATAATGCATATTCAAAAGATAAATAAATAACATCGTCAGTTTTTTTAGTTCAATTTACTAGGTTAGTCATACTTAGTAAAAAAGACAAAATAACGAATAAATCAAATAAGTTTAGTTTTCATCACTCTAAAATAGAATTAAAAATATAAAATAAATTTCATGAATTATATAAATTAATATTTTTAAAGGATGTTAACGATATTAAAGTTTCTTCATTAAATTACATCTAATTTACCTTTTTTTAAATAAATAAATAAATTATATTTCTATCACAATTTCAAGTTAAATATAATTCATCATATTTAAAAGACATTTTCAAGTTAGTATATGAAAAAGAGTTACGTTGAAAAAACATGAATAATAGATATAAAAATAATAAAAAATAAAAATAAAAAGAAGAGCAACTTTCACATATAGCAAACAAAAAAATCATATTTGTATGTTATAGCAAAGTTTGCATAATTGCGCTTCATAGCAAACATATATATGTATAATTCGCTATACATATACAATTGAAAGCAGTTGTATAATCTGCTTTGGTATACATATACAAAAAGATCAATTGTATAAAGTGAGAGAGGCGAATGAGCGAGCGAGATCTGGGAGAGTGGCGAGCGAGATCTAGGAGAGGGGAGAGAGGGGAGAGAGGGGAACGAAAATATATGTATATATACAATTT